CTCCCAAAGTGCTAGGATTACAGGCGTGAGCCACAGTGCCCGGTATCCTCCAACTCTTGATTCAGTACACAGACTATCCTAAATTCTCTGCATTCATATGTTTTACCTGTGGAGTACATTTTCTGCAGAATAGCCAGGCAGATATTTTAAGAATGTAAATTTGATCATGTCACTCTTGCTTAAAACCCTTCAGTGAATTTTCATTGCTCTTCGGATATATACCAAATTCCTTACTATACACAGAATTGCATGATTTGCCCAGTTTATGCATCAATTCCTGCTATTCCTTCCCTTATTCTCAGTGTTTCAGCCTCAAGGAGTTCCTCCTAACATATACCCTTGGTTCTCTCTTATCCCAGAGTAGTCCCTTTTTTTATATGGGAGTGGAGAAAAACTTCTATTCATCTTTCAGATTTTAGCAAAAATGTCTCAAGGAAGTTTAAATCTTGATTTAGTAATTGTGTAACCTTAGACAAGGTATTTAACCTCTCTGAGGCTTGAGTTTCAAGTTTATAAAATGAGAAAAGCCTCCCTCCTAGAGTTGTGGTAAGGATTAAATAAGATAATACATATAAAAAGTTTAAAGAAACATTTGGCACATAGTGAATAACACTTATACAAGTAGAAGCTGGAGAAAGAGATGTTCAATATATAATTGCTGAGAGAGAATGCACAAATTAAGAAAGAGTTGGTCATGGAAGGTTCTGTGGATAAATAAGTTTTTCCTTTCACTAATTACTTCATTAAAAAATTTACTTTCATCTAGTTAGAGGGTGAAAATAATTGTACTTGATTTCAGCAGGACTCAGTGGTGTGTACCTATAATCCCAGCTACTTGGGAGGCTGAGGCTGGAAGATACCTGAGTCCAGGAGTTCAGGACAAGCCTGGGCAACAGCAACAAAAAATTACCGATTGCCTATTGTGTGCTAGGCATTGTGCTAGTACTAGGTGGCTCTGATTTTAATAGATGGTAAAAAATGAGTAGGCAGTCTTGAGGACAGGAGGAAGAATTTGAGTCAACATTCAGCCCAGGAGAACAGAAGATGGGTTAGAAGAGTGGTGGGTGCTGGCTGGGCACGGTGGCTCATGCCTTTAATCCCAGCACTTTGGGAGGCTGAGGCGAGCAGATCACGAGGTCAGGAGTTCGAGAACAGCCTGGCTAACATAGTGAAACCCTGTCTCTACTAAAAATACAAAAATTAGCCAGGCATGGTGGTACCCGCCTATAGTCCCAGCTACTCGGTAGGCTGAGGCAGGAGAATTGCTTGAACCCGGGAGGCAGAGGTTGT